TTTCTCCATTCACCACTGCTTCTCACCGAGTCCTGTCATCCCATTTCCCCAGCACTGGCAAGTTCATCTGAAGGGCAGTGCTCCTTCCAGCCTACCGGCTACTCCTCGCGATTAGACGCTGCCCACAAAGTGGCTTGGCAGTGTGTTCTGTGCCATCGTCCCCAAGGGACAGTGAGGCACAGAACAGCATCAGTTCTAGCACTGACCTCTCAGAAACGCCACTAGCTACCAGCTGCCAAGGTGGACCTTGCACTGCTGGACAATCCAGGTCATTTTTCATCCGCCTATCCTAACCACATCTCACCAGTTTGACTGAAAGGACACTACAGAAACTGTACAGAAAGCCTTGCTAAAGTAAACGTGAACAATATGCAGTGCTCTCCCTTGTTTACAGAATAACTTRCCACAAAAGGCAATCAGTCATGCATGGTTCACATGTGGCAAATCCACCACTGTTCCTAACGGCATCTTTTGTCCTTTATGCGCTTGGAAATGATTTCCAGAAAGATTTTCTCCATAGTCTTCCTGAAGAAGATCATGCAGGGCAGTCTGTAATGCCCCAGGTGCTCCTGTCTTGTCCTTCTTGACAGTGGGCACTATTTAACCTTTTCCAGTCACCGTGAAACCTCCTGGCAGTCACTACAAGCTCTACAAAAACAGCAAGAAGCCTCATAGTGATATCAGTCCCCTGCCTCAGCAACCTTGGTGGYGTCACATCTGCTGCCATGAATAAATGAACACTCAGCTCTTCCACCATACATAATGCTCCAGTTTAGTGTAAGTCARAAGTTTTACAAAATTTTAATTGAARATTTAAMCTATGAATTGTGACTTGTAGATTGGTAGAATCTAAGGTCTTGGTAATATAATACAGTATCACCATAGCCTAAACACTGTTCGGGAAGTTAGAGCACATCTTGTCTTCTCCCTTGGCATGTATCTGAGACTTTCTGCATGGAGATGGATCTTTTCTAGTCTTGCTCTCACAATCTCTCTTCTTCAAAGATGAGATTTCCTTATAATTGTTGTTCACATACTCTTGCAAATACAGTCATTAAAGTGTAAGGTATTTCATACTCCACGTTATACCTTTTATCTCTTTGTATAAAATGTTGTCATTCTTCAATTAGAACTTTTCTCCTCCGCATCTCTTTCTCTACTCATTTTAGTCTATTTTTTTAACCCATTCTTCTCATACTTCTGTATCTCCTCTCCTCTTTCATCTTTCCTATCACACATTCCCCCGGAAACTCTGGAGACTTCCTAGTTGCTAGGCCAAAGCACTGTATGGCATCTTTCTTCATCTGGCATCAAGAGGCTCTTTCTGCTCCTTTGTCACCAACACGCAACAACACAGGATAAAAATTACCATTTTTTCTGTAGAAAATCAGAGATCTTGCAAGAAACTCCTCTCTGTCTGMCAGAGCTAAGCCTAGATTTGATGAGGAGGTTCAGTGCCCAGACCCTAGCTCAACAGCACAGACCAAGTGGAGAACACAGATGACAGAGTAAGGCTCTCCACTGCTTCTCCAGAAAGCTCTTTCAAACACCTTTCTCTCAGCTGCAGGAGGAGGCAGGGACATTTTCCAGGGACTCATGAAATATGGTTATCTTATCCACATATGAAAACCACTTTGCCAGTTGGGGGGGGTCTTACAGCACTCTCATGTCAGACAGCATTATTTAAAGCAGACACACTGAATCCAGTTTGACTGAAGCTCCTTTTATGCTGCACAAGTGGGGAAAAAGACATAAATACACTTTCTTTTCTGTTTTAAAGTAACAAGGACAAACAAAGATGACAGGTTGCCCAGAGAGGTTGTGGACTCTCCTCTGGAGATACGTGTAAGTAGTCTGGCCACAATCCTGAGTAACCTGCTCCAGCTGATCCTGCTTGAGCAGGAGGTTGGACTAAAATCAACTACAGCAGTTGTTTCCAACCTTACCCATCGTGTGACAGGCAGAACCCCAGTAAATGAAATCATTAGATCTGGCATATGGAACAGCAGCAGGCTGTACTAGGGCTGGTATTTTATCTTCTCTGTAAAGTCACTASCTCAGTTACTGTGTCAGACCCAGGCATGTTTGATCAGTGACTGTGCTRCTCGTCTCCATTGGTACCTAAGAGAACGACACCATCCATCAGGAGTCACAGAGCACAGAGAAGTGAGCAGAGTGAGAGTTTAATTCATTCAGTGTCATATTTTGTTCTTTAATCAATGCTATTCATGACATTCCTTACTGTCCCAAATTCAAGTAAAAACATGCACAGAATGAAGGCTATCTAAGGATGCTGCTGCTGTCTCACTGTAGCTCCCAGAAGTTACCCTGACAGCAATCTCATGTACACACTGCCTTATGACACCTGCTGAGGACAGCACAAGTGAAGTTAGTGAAGAATCTGGATCTTTTCTGGTAAGTGAACAGTTTCCTGTTCACTAAAAAAAAGCAGAAATTCTGTTTTCAAATCAATTATTAAAAGTAAAATTAGAATCCCAGGGAATTTAATCCAGTGTCATGGTTTTACCACGACATCCAGTTAGCAATCCTAAAAACTCTAGTATATTAAACTGAAAATCCTTCTTTTGGCATCAGGAAACACATTAAGGAAATCACAGATAACTGCAGCAGAAAAGGAGTGAAACTGAGAAATGCATGATGAGAAGAACAGACAAATCAGTAACGGTCTGAAAAGAATGTTTACACAGCATCCTTGATTATACATACAAAGTACTTGGCTAGTAAAACTTGCAGGCTCAAGTCAAGCAGTTTCAACCATCATGTTCTATACCAAAACACACTTTCCTAACAGACAAAAGCAAAGGTATGATTTTAACTACCCACCAGKAATAACCCAAGACATTGCAACAAGAAAAAAAAAGCTCAGAAAATAGTATCATTCAAACACACACTTTTTCTTTCAGAGAACCTTTACTATTAACCTGACAGCTGCAATACCTACCACTTTTTAAAGACGGGTTGTTTCCCTGTTGATTCTTTCCATCTTTCTCTTTTTTAATATTCTTTGAATCTAAAAGACAAGATTCCATTACATAATAAATGTAATATTCACATTATAACCATGTCCAGCATGCTTTCAAACAATAGAGGATCTTGTTGACTTTCTTTTATTCATTTCAGTGCACAATCAAAAAGGTATTTGTACTCTAAATTTAATCACTGCACTATTTTCCCTTCAAAATATACTGAAAAGTACAGCATGAAAAAGCAGAGCTGTTATACCAATCATCAGAATAAATCTAGTTGCAGAATATATAGTATCAGCTCCACAGACAGCAATCCTATCCTATTTTTTAAGTTTTACTCAACCTACACACAATTTGAGATCCTAAAGAKCACTGGATATTTTTATACATCTTGTCTAGATCACCATGAACTGAGAAACAAGGAAAGAAACAAACCCACCCTAACACCAAATTTCTGAGTTTAAGATTTCATTCTATATTTAGATTTTTGAATACTCAATATTCTCAATATTAAATCCTCAAATACTCAAAGCAATTATCTCAGTGCAGATGTCAGCAATTTTAAAAAAGCATTCAGGACAATGTACCTTCCCTGTCATTAATCTTGGCACACACTCATAAAGGAGTCTGTCATAGCTCATCTTTTATGGATTTCAGCATATGAGAAACACAGCAAAACTGGGCAGCTATAATGGAGAAGACTGAGGGAGACAGTTCCACTCATTACTTTTAAAATACATTGTTTGGTGACCTGCTTTTGACACTCATGGACTTGAATGCAATTCAAACACGACACTGACCTGACTACCAAAATTAATTTTCATATACAAAAGTACATTTTCAGATTTGAAAAGCTTTAGAGCTTTTTTTGTTTTTACCTAGATCTGCACAGGAGAATAATTCTTTTGGCCTGCAAATGGCTCAGTACTGAGAATGGGGCTGCTCCTGTAGGAAGGCTTGTGCTTGGGTTATCCTAGTGAGCCTGAACTGGTACAGGTGAAGGGGAGACTCACTTTTACTGCAAGATTGCATTAGCAGCTGATTCCCATATTTGCTCATTTTTAAGTCTTCAGCTACTGATTGGCTTGTTCTTGAAATAAAAACACTACTGACGCAGAATGTGAAGCATTTGGTGACAGAAGCACTTGAAATACAGTGAGCTGTTCATCAAAGACTGAGCTCTAACAGAGTGTGTGCATTTCTTGACACAGAGTACTGACAAACAACATGTGGTGTTCAGCACTTCCAYCTCACTTCTTTCATTATTTATCAAGGAACGACAATATAATCCAAGAGCTAGTCATGACAATCTTCTGTCATCAATCCAAAATCCTTCCTGAGCATTCACTGGGGAGTGGATAAGCCATCCAGGTGGCTCTGTGGTGGCAGGATGGGATGCTCCTTTGGCC